ATTTGAAAGCTTAATATGTTTCCACTGCATCGTGTGTTTGTCATGTCATTTGACTACAGAAGTTATTGTAGATGTTTTATATGCCCCAAAACAAAGCTACACCAATTTATGTTGATAATAAGTCAACTATTGCTTTGGGTAAAAATCCCATGTTCCATGATCGAAACAAGCATATAGATATGAGATTTCATTTCATTAGAAAGTGCATTAAGAACAAAGAAGTAGAACTTGCTTATGTGAAGATCAATGATTAAGTAGCCGATATTTTCACCAAGCCCTTGAAGAATGATGATTTTGCAAGATTGCGTGATTGGATTGAAGTCACCAAAAGGGGAATCAAGTTTAAGGAGTGTTGGAAATTAAACTTGATTCATGAATGTTGGAAAATTAAATTTGATATATGAATTAGTTTATTTAATATTCATGTATTCACATGATTCTTTGTATTCATTAAATAATGAAATATTTGCAGCTACCAAATTAAATACCAAAGAAACTACAAGAAATGATTCTGAATTACCTCCTTGCGGTCTCTCCATATGAACAACTTCAACAATCGAGCTTCGAGGTCTTTCGATTGTGGGGCAAAATCGATTTGGGGATAGGGTTTACAAAAAAACTTGGGATTTCAATTTTGGGGTCGAAATGAAAATGAGAAAATGAAGACGTAAAAAGGGGAGACGAAGGAGAAATCGACAAAAAATGGGTCGGAAACGGAGATTTAAAGTCGTTATTTGCTCGGAGAAGAGATCAACGGAAGTTGCTTGGTGGATTTTGCAAGCTGACAATTTCTACGAATGAGGAATATGGACAGTTAGGTTTGGGTTTGCTGTAATTAACTGGTTGGCTTTTGGTTAGAATTTAGGACGTAATTAGTACTTTCTTAAAATGTTTAATTAATTTAAGGTTATTAATCAAGACACTTAGAAAAAGAGGGTATAAGGCCTAATTTCCTCTATTTAATGTTAGCTACAAAATGAGTCCAATATTAATATACTTTTTCCTTCTAATACTTAAATATTTAGCCCAAATAAAAAAAAATAAATGGACCAAACAATCATATTATCTTATGAACTATATTATATGCAACAAGGCTACGATAAAAAAAAAAAAAAAAGAGTTCTATTTTAATGATTGTCAAACCGACGCTTACCTCATAGCTGATACCTATAACCCGTCATCCATTGTCATAAATTTCATTTCTAATTTAAATTTTCATCCCAAATTCAAACTAAATTTTTTAATTTCACTGCCACATTTTCCGTCCTTATTTATTTGCGCAAATTCAATTTTAATTTTCAAATTTCAGTCCTATTTTGTTCACTTTTCTTAGTTCGAAGCTTCCCAACGGGTTTAAAAGACAGAAATTATCTAACAAAAAGGTGACAAGAATTGTAATATAAAAGCTAATTCAAAGATTTGTAATTGAATAGATTTGAGCCAACTATATTGCTAATGCAATATAATTTCTTTCAGTGTCTAAAAGATGCGTCTGTTGTGTAACTATTTTTGTGGATTCCGTGATTCGCCATGTTTTTTGCTCAAATTTTAGAACTCTACCATCGACTAGCATTGCTTATACCATCGTGTACTTTGTATGTATATATTTTTTTATGATTAGGTCCAAATATTAGAAGGATTTCAATCAAACATTAAATGGCAAAAAACACAAAAAATAAAATAAAATAAGAGGAATACAAGAACACGACATTTTTCACACTGAGGTAAGAGGTTCAAAGCAAGCTCATAATCACCATTTGAGCTTCCATATCACCAGAAGAAAACCACTGCATTTAAATGAAGCCAAATCGCCCAAGGTCCAACTTTTGGGAAACCAACAAAGGAAATCACTCAAAATTTACAGAACCTCTCCCATTAATTGGTTACTGTTCATGTGAGGACAATGAAACCCCGCCCTTATTAGATTTACAATGACCACTCAAAATCAAGAACCTAGAACAAGATTTACAAGATGAAATATCTTCTAAAATAAAATATATAAGAGAGAGAGAGAGAGAGAGAGAGAGATATGAACTCAAAGAGAGGAGTTCACAAAACCCAGAAGCCAATAGGCTAGAACTAGAGAAAATGAACGGTCAAACCATATAACAACTCATATCACTGATACCCAATACATAGGAACATCTAATAGAAGCTACTAGAAGGTCAACAAATCTAACGATGTGAGAGGTGACAGTTAGTAGCATCTCACGCAACCTCTACACTATAAAAATCGTGATTGTAAAACATGATTTTCATTAGTCAATTCTACACTTTGTAGCATGGAACATGATTTTGGTTCAATTCACAAACTAACAGTCAACAATCAATCTAGTCAACAATGAACACATCATCCTGGTCAACTGTGTAACATAATCCAACATATATATTATTAGTTTTCAATCTTTGTTTAGAAATTTAATGTTTATAAACATTTTGTAAAGCTTATCTTGCTGATTTGTAACCTATATGTTATTGCTCTAATTTCAACTTGCTTGCTTCAATGTTTTGAAGTCACTATGGGCTACTACGTAGGCAATTTGCTTGGATTTTCCATTTTTGATCCTTGACCCTCTTCCTTTTCAGAGTCGATGCGCGGGCCGATTTTTAAAACATTGATTACAACTACTCATTATTCAATTAAATGATTTTGATTTCACCAATTTTACGTAATTTTGGTAGTATACCCAAGCCCAAGTTTATGAATGATATCGCTGAGAGCATATGTGACACATAATGCTAAACATCAATGTACATAATGAAAAATATTTTCATTTTTCCATAATCATATCCATATCCAATATGATTTGGTCGTTACAAGACATGTGAAAAATTCAATAGTAAATGACAACTATGTGGCATGAGTATCCGGTGAAAGCTTGGAATATATATATTTAAATTGTCAACATTATTTTTTATAAAAATAAAAGTAACTTTTGAAGGTGAAATTTTCACTAATTGTCTTGAAAGCTTGCAAATTGGTCTGCAAATACAGTTGGGCAGTACATGTGCAGGATATCACGCAAGTACAAAGAAAGAAGTGCATCGATGTCAATATGTCAACCCGCCAACTGAAAATTGCAACGATTAAATCCTCATAATTAAGTGTCCCGTATTCTTTTGGTACACGTTAAAATTGAAAGGACAAGCAGAGGGTTATGTTCCATTTTGGTCAATAAATTTTTTGTGTAATCTTATTATATCACCTCCCAATTTTAATTCATCATAATCACAAGTTGAATTTGCTTTTCATGTCACTCCGTAAGGCTCGTTAAATTTAACATCAAAATCCTCCATTAGTCCTTGTTTTTGCATAAATAGCCACATAACCATCTAGTGATAGAAAATCTTGAACTTGTGGATGAATAGAGCGCTGAGTATGCTCTGTCTGGTGCATTGTAGTCAATTTTTCAAACACGATATGTTTTTAAGTTCTATGGTCACGACATGATTGGGTGGCATATTTACAATTAATTTTTGCGTTCACATGAGATTATGACATCCATTGAAAATCAACATGTGATTGATGTAAATAATTAATGCAATTAAAATTTCGTTGAAAGATCAATTATAAAAAGGGAAAATTGTAGTTGTGATCCCAAACCTTTCATTTTCTTGGCAAACTTTACCCCAATCTTCACTTTATGTCACCCATAATCCCAATTTTGACTAATTTGTAAAGGACAAAAGGGTAACTTTAGATTTCTTATATTAAAGAATTAAATAAAGAAACATACTTGTCAAGTAACAGGGCAAACTATTTTCTATACTTTCAAATTCGAATTTAAGTATTTAGGGTCTCTATTTCACTTCCGATTTGTTGGTTGGGTGTCTTTCTGAATGTTGAGAAAATTTGGAGCTTGGTAAAAGCCATGTACGAAATGTTCAAAACACGATTTTAATATGTTGACATGGTCGATTATTTAGCAAAACGTTCACACTTGTAAGCATTTAGCCGGTCAGCTAGATTTTTCGTCTACCATGTAGACCCATCAAGTAGCAAATTTGATACGGTGAGTAACGGATCAAAGTCTAGTGGCCAGTGGAAAAAGTTTGAAAATTTTACGAGTAAGTCGTGACATAACCCAAAGTTCAGTGGCTAAAAAAATTTAACTTACAAATATTCTAACTAGAAATAACCAGAGACCAATGCTGGCACACTGAAATCGAGGAACTCAGCTGGTGTCTTCTAACCAACTTTGCAATTTTTCCCACTACCAAAATCTCCCACTTGTAATCTTGCATGCACATGCAAACCCCTTTCTGTCTTTTCATATCCAATCCCATGCAAAAACACATCGGTCGAAATCGAACATTTTTGAAAAGGATATCTCAATTAATTTGTTTAAAAAACATTTTTTTTTAAAGAAGATTTTTTGCAAACTAAAGGAAATATTAAATTTTCACTTTCATGCAATAACTATTTCCATCGATGAAAACTACATTAAAATGTCGAAAAAATTTAGATCAATTAACATCAGTGTAGAACAAATTAAAAGATTGTATAACTCTAAATTAACATACAAACATCGAAAATATGGTAAAAAATCTTGTTGACTCAAAGCCAAACAAAAGAAATTGTAGATTGTGTTTTTCTATAAGCTATGAATATCATATTTATTGTGCATAATACATATTTAGCCCCTATTTGAGCCCCTTTTTTCATTATTTTTCTACGGTATTTATTTTCAATAGGATATTTTTCAATAAAATAATATTACATGCAAATCAAATTTTTTTTCTTCTTTTTAATCATACATTTCGTATCAATTTACTATTCCATAATACATTATAAGAAATTAATGGACTCAAACAAGGCCTTAGTATGTAATATTTGATCGATTTTTTATTTTTTATTTTTTATATTATCGAGTACGCTCGAATAATTTGAGCCAACGACATTAACATATTACATATATTCATCCACTATCCTCTCATTTTTCATCCTTTCAATCTAAGCCCCTAAAATGTAAATCTATACAGAGAGGATATACGTGTGATAAACTAATCATATTCAGACGCGTGGAAGGTTGTCAGGTCTGTGATAATGTGTGTCATTTCTCAGAGTTGTATATAAGGAGGTGGAGCTTTGTACATTTAACATATACACACAGAGACAGAGGGGGGGGGGCAGATTTTAGAGGGAGAAAGCGCTTCATAGAGAAGTGCTTTCCGGTGATTTCTACAACGTAATCTGACTCTTAGGTAACATTTTTTCGATTAATTTTTTTCTCTATTCTTCAGCCTTTTTAAATATGAATAAATGTATATTGAGCAGCATTCTCGTAAATTGGATGTATCTGTGAAATCATTGTTTTATTTTTGAAGGAAATTTATGGGTTTTTGAAGGAAATCATTGTTTTATTTTGAAGGAAATTTATGGGTAATTTTTCTATGGTAATTGAATGTAATTTTGAAGGAAATTTATGGGTAATTTTTTTATATTTGAATGTGATTTATAATGATTTCGAATTTGATTTGTTCGATTTCATATTTTGCGTGTGGCTCGTATTCTACGATTTTTACCAGAAATTATGGACTCTTGCTTTTGTTGACCAAAGCAAATCTACGCCTGCAAAAGAGATACAAGGAAAGTTTCTTTCATGCAATGCATAACGGACGGCCTTCTATGATGAGTTCCTCCATTGATGTTACCTTGATTTTATTTTATCTTCTCCTTTAATAGGGATTTGTTTATTTTGAAATGAATTTTCGATTTCCATTGTTAACTTATTTTCTGATTTCAGATTGCTTTTTATAATCATTGATAGTATTTCAAATTCATGTTATCATCGGGAAATTCATTAAATAGGTCAGCAAGTTTCGTCCTATTAGGCCCAGGCCGAAGACTGGTCTCTTGTAATCGTCGGTCATGATATTTGTTGTACTCCAATTCATTGTTGTCATGACAGAAGTAGCATTTTCTTCATTATATCGTTGCTTTTTGAGAAAAAGATGAGCTCAGCTGCCATATATTTACTTTTAGGGAAAATTGCAGCCACGATACCAAACCTTTCACTTTTATGTAGACTTGACTCAAATCTTTATTTTGTTGCATTCACGGTACCAAATCTTGTGAAAACTCGTACCTGAAGTCAAAATGAATTGAAACTGCTAGTTTGATCATTAATTGACCAGATAATTGACATTGACAATTATTTTGACTAATTTTAAAAGGTTAAAATGGTAACTTTATATTTTTTTAAAAAAATAACTAAAATCAAATAATTAAAATAAAAAACCAAATACCAAAAATCAAATTCCTTATTCTTCTCCCTCCACCAAACCAAATTCCAAAAATCAAAATTCTTATTCTTCTCCATCCACCCCAGTCACACCCACCCCACGACACAACCAAACGGCTTCACCGCACCCACCCAACACCAACGCCACCTCCGGTGTTACCGCCATGTCCTCCACCTCCATCACACCACAACATTTCCACCTCAAATCCACAACCACCAAAGCCCGCACCTGTTCGTCCACAAAGAGATGAACAACCCACACCCTTTCGTCCACAACCTTTTCTTCATTTTTTTCACAAATTCTTGATTCCAAATTTCTGATAGAGGATAGGGCAACAGATTTCACTTCAACAATTTTAATAGTGAAAGCTCGTGAAAATAATTTAAGGACCAATTCATTACCCATGTAAATGGCCTTGGAGGCTGATCCCATAGGAAAAAATATTTCCAAGATACATCCTTCTGGAAGTGAATCTTGTCCTATTTATAGAACAAGAGGACAGTATAAGAATCTTGCCTTTATGGACCTTAGGATTTATGAATATTGTACTATTTTTTAGCAAGAAAATGTAATAGATATTTTATTATTTATTTCCTTCAATCAATAACTTGTTCCAATTTATTTCCTTTTCGAACAATAGAATTAGCATCGGGGAGTTGGTTATACTAGTTATCTTTGCCCCTTTCATTTAAAAGCAAACTTAAATAACTATGTCGATTGTCGTTCTGATTGAAAGGGAGATGCAACTGCATACTTTGGTGCATTATTCAATAATCCGATAACCAACCAATGCATATTCGTAGAGCAAGATACTTATGATTATCTGCTTTACACGAAGTTTACTGTGTGTATCAGTTGTATTTCTTGGTTGCTATCTCTTCTTTTTGGAAGTTAAACCCTTGTTACCATTAGATATCAAAGATTCACATATGATGCACATTTTGAACACGACATTTTCAATTCAAGGGAATAGGGGAAAAGTTTCTAATTTACATTTGACTAACTAGACTTTGGTTTCAGATGGGACTTTGTCGTTCACTCTCAATATATTTGTGTTCTAGTATTTCTGAATGAATTTCTTTTCTTACTATCAACTCAAATTTTTTGTTTCTCCAGGTTGTGTGAAACAGGGATTTGAACAAAAATGGGAGCAGGAGGACGATTGTCTGTTCCGGCTACCGAAGCCGAAGAAAAGAAGAACCCCCTTAAAAGGGTGCCTTACTCGAAACCTCCATTCACAGTTGGTGACATCAAAAAAATCATCCCACCCCACTGCTTTAAGAGATCTCTCTTGCGCTCGTTCTCCTATGTTGTTTATGACCTATTTCTTGTTTTCCTATTTTATTACATTGCTACATCGTACTTCCATCTACTTCCATCCCCCTTCAGCTACCTTGGTTGGTCTGTTTACTGGATCCTTCAAGGCTGTGTTTGCACTGGAGTCTGGGTCATTGCCCATGAATGCGGCCACCACGCATTCAGTGATTACCAGTGGGTCGATGACACAGTCGGTCTTATCCTCCACTCTACCCTCCTAGTGCCCTATTTCTCATGGAAATATAGTCACAGACGACACCATTCCAACACTGGCTCCCTCGAGCGTGATGAAGTCTTTGTCCCGAAGCCCAGATCCAAACTCTCGTGGTTCACCAAGTACTTGAACAATCCACCAGGCCGGGTCATGACACTTGTTATCACCCTTACACTCGGCTGGCCTCTGTACTTGGCCTTCAACGTCTCAGGCCGGCCTTATGATCGTTTTGCCTGCCACTATGATCCGCATGGCCCAATATATAATGACCGTGAGCGACTTCAAATCTACATTTCTGATGTTTGTGTTATCGCCACATCATATATCCTTTACCGTGTTGCTTTGGCCCAAGGACTTGTTTGGCTTACATGTGTCTATGGAGTACCGTTACTCATTGTGAATGGCTTCCTCGTCTTGATTACATACCTGCAGCACACACACCCTTCATTGCCACATTATGATTCTTCTGAGTGGGATTGGCTGAGGGGTGCTTTGGCGACTGTGGATCGAGATTATGGTGTGCTGAATAACGTGTTCCACAACATTACTGATACGCACGTGGCTCATCACCTCTTCTCAACAATGCCACACTATCATGCAATGGAGGCGACTAAAGCAATCAAGCCACTATTAGGTGAGTACTATCAGTCTGATGGCACTCCATTTTACAAGGCTATGTGGAGGGAGGCGAAGGAGTGTCTTTATGTCGAGCCAGACGAGCCAAACAAGGGTGTTTTCTGGTATAAGAACAAGTTTTGAAGACTAAAAATATAGTTAGTACTATGTATTTTCGTTAGTGAAGTTGTGTATCTAGTGTGTTGTATGGAATGAAGACAATCAGCTTTCAAGTTAGTATTCTACCTCCATGGAATAAGTATTCGTGCAGGTTCAACCTCATTATATTTTGTTTATTTTGAAATAAAATAGGGACTGTTAATTATATAGCCTCCTTGAGTTTTTACTTTGATAATTTTTTCAATTCTTAGGATGGTGCAGATTTTTCGAATAAGAATGTTTTAACAGCATTGACAATGTGAAGAATATTAACTTGTCAATATGTGTTTTAAATGTCCTTCGATTCATGAAAGATAAGTGATTATTTACTCCATAAATGTTTCATTTAAAAGTTCAAATTATAAGTTCATTTTTTTCTTTTCTTTTCTCTTTTTTCTTTTTTTCTTTTTATGTGAGTTTTAGCTGGCGTTATAAAGCTAGTAGATCTTATATTGTGCTTCATACCCCCCCATCTCATCCCATCCTATCCCACTCCACCCGACCATCATTCTCATTGAGATTGATGTCGAAAATCTATGAATGATTCACCTAGTAAACAAAGCTCAATTCATGTTGTCTTTAAAAATCTAACGCACGTAATTTTTTTAAGTAAGAGGTAGTGAGATTTGAATACTTTCTCTCTTTAATTACATATTTCCCCTTTGTCAATCATCTTCTGTCATAAAAAAGGAACCCCTCTTAAAAACTATTAAAATTTTAATGTATAATCACAAATATTTATAGGTCTAATGTAATCATACAAAATTTTGATTTTTAATAAAAATTTAGACATTAATTTAAATGGTAAGGAGGTATGTTTAGGGAAAAAAAAAATATAAAATGAGATAAATATATAATATTGATTTTAACGAAAAAGGGATAGTTTTAAAAAAAATTAAAGAAGGGGATACTTTTAAGCTTTCTGGATAAAAATAAGGTAGTTTTGATGTTATCCCTTGTGTTTATGTGCTTTAGGCACCATGGCCTATAAACAGTGGAAAGTGATATTAACACGAGTGTGATGAAAATGTGTACAATTCGAGCTCCTCTATTCATTTGAAAATGTCACGAAAGGCTAATTATAGGTTCAGTTCTCTCCATTGGAACAATGGGATTGCTATGCTCATCGCTAAATTGTTATTGTTGAAGAGAAGAAATATAACTAATGTATATCTTTTGAATCGATCATCGATTTAGTACGAATTCTTGCTCGAGTCTTGGTAGGGTAATCATTCCCTTAAACATTTTGTTGAGAGATTACTTATTTCAAAATGTTCATTTGCCACTTTGCAATATAAGTTGTTTTACTAGTCAATACTATTTCTCTATAATAAAATATATATAATGTCAAGGTTGTCAGTATTGTAATTTTTACTCGGATCAGTGGAGGGGACTTAAGGATTGGAACTTCGAATTAGTTTAAGGATGGTAAGATCCTCCTGAATAATGATAATTTAAATATAAAAATATATACAAAAGGTATAAGAACAAATTATCAACTACAAATCTATAATTAACAAAAATAATAAAAAATCAACTATTTATAAGGTCCACAACAATATTTGTTGGTCAAATTTGAGAGATGAACATATATGAGAGGCGAGACTCTAAGAGTCGAATGATAAAGCTAATTTGGAATTTGAGTTAATAAGTTTATATATATATATATATATTTTATTTTAATTTTTTTTACTATATTTTACTTGGTAAGTTAATCTATTATCTTATATATATATATGGACATACTTTAATTTTTCATTTTACCTTTTGATTTTCGATTATATTCTGAGCACCCTAGCACAATTTTATTGCATTTATAAAAATTAAAACCTGAGCTTGTTACTATCTTGATTGCTAGGATTAGATTGTAGTATCAAATCATGGGATCATACGATCTTAGCTATTTCGAAGTGATCTAGACTCGATCTAATTCGGATTGAGTCATTTTGATCATATGATCCTAATCACAATTTTAACAATATTGAATATTTTCCAATTATGCACTCTAAAGCTCCATTTGGTAAGAGTATTTTTTAAGTACTTCGGTAATAATATTTTAGTCACACTTTTCCATAGAACTATAACTATTCAAAAGCATTGCAACGACAACGCACGTGTTATGTACAAGTTAAAATAAAAATGATTAGGTCAATATGCCGCAATTTAGTTTTACTAATTCACAACGGATAATTATATTCACACCACATATTTTAATTGCAATGAATATCTTCGCTTTTACTCATTTTGGCACATCCTCAAATTTTTTGTGATATTTTTATTCTTAAAATTTGTTAATTAATACATGTTGTCTTTGATGACAACCAAATTAATTAGTCGAAGTAAAAATACATATTTTGCCCATTATATTTTCAAATGAGTAAGACAAACAATAAATACAAGTTCGACAAAATATTTTACTCAAACTCACATAATATTTAGACAAAAACCGTCATTCGAATCAAAATGTATTAAATAATTGAAGGTTAAAAGAGAAAAATACAAATTAAAAAAGTTGAGATCAAAATTATCAGAATGAGCAAAAATTGAAAATCTTCATTGTTGGATTTTTTGAAACCAATAGATCCGGGCTATGATGTTAATGTGAAACAATGTATTTCATAGGTTTAGGCTGATGAATGAAATAAGTCCAACAACCAAATTCATGAGCTCCATCCAATCCAGTTGTATTCCCTCTTGAATAGCTTGAATTTTGGTCTGATTATAAGATTACAACCTAGCTATTTTCTTGTGTGACTTGTGTGTGAATTGAGGAGAACTCGGCTACCCCTTTGAAGTGAGAAAAACGGCCCCTTTGGTGTCCAAAATCAGTTGATTACTTTGTGTAATTTATAGTTCCTTTATAGTCTACCTTTGTGGCATTTTCTCCTTGTCTTTGTAGCTACAAATCATCACTGTTTCTTGTACTTTGTGAGTAAGATTGAATAGCAACCGAGGTAAATATATTGGTTGTGGATTGGAGCTGGTTGGTTTGATTGTTTGGTAGAGAAAAGTACGTTGTACTGAGCCCGAAAAACACCAATTTGAAAATCCTTGGAGTAAGCTTCCGCAACATTTGGTATAAGAGCTTCAAGTGGTGGTTTTGGCTTGTGAAACATACCAAAAATGTCTAGAAAAATCAGCTGAAACGAAGCAAAAATCAGATCAAAGAAGCTGTCTAAAAATTGCCCAACAATCGGATATGTTTGTGCAATTTGTGGACAATCCAGAAGAGTTTGGGAAAACGGAGACCATTGATGTGACGTGCAAGTAAAGGCGCACCAGGTTGACCAGAGCGTGAGCCTCTCCGATGGACTGTGAAGCCCATGCACAGAGAGCGTGGCTGCATGGGGCTGAATCTCGAGACGGTCTCTTCAAGCAGTTTATTCCTAATGTTATATTTGACATTTTAGTGTTGTTAGTTTTCTCTTTCAAGTTGTACAGTAGAATTTGGACATAGTTGTTCCTCAAACGTTTGGGATTTGATTTTGTTGGTTGGTTGTTGCAGTTTCTAGAGACTTGAGGACGAATAGTGGTGGTCCTAAAGTGATAAATTCGCGTTTCTCATAATTTACAGACTCAGATTGGTTCACTTTGGTATATTGGCTTATCCAGTTTAAATTTCAGTATTAGCGCTTCATCCTGTGGAGTGACATTAGGTTTGTCATTGTTGTGAAGGAGTAACATTGCCTGTGCTAGAAATTTAGGAGTTATTTGCCATATTTGAAATTTTGAGTTTTGATTGCAAGTTGGTAATTGATTTTGTGCTTTTAACTGTCATATAATCACTGTGTGAGACTGTGTTGCGTGAAAATTCGAACTTTTGTTTACATAACTTCGGGTTGCGTTGATTATCCTGTTAGAACACCTGGACTTGACCCGTTTGAACATTCCCTTGATCTAAGATCGTAAATCTTATACAACGCTGGGAATCTAGAATGGTGTATTTTGCAACCTTATGATTACTTTGTGTGACCTATCTGTGTATTTGGTTGTTTTATATTCTTAAAATGTCTTCACATTTCGAAATTGGTATTTTCAATGGGAAATGAGATTTTTCAATTCGGCAACAAAAGATGAAGGATTTTTTAGTTCAATTAAAGGTTTCAAAAGCCATAAATGGCAAATTTCCTGTAAATTTGACAAAAGCACAAAAAGAAGAATATGGTGAACTTGTTTACACTTCAATTATTTTACAATTGTCTGATACTATTTTGAGAAAAGTTGGAAGACTTGATTCTACAAAAGAACTTTGGGAAAAGTTGGAAGACTTATATTTGCTTAAGTCCACTCCTAATAAATTGTATTTACTTGAAAGATTTTTTAATTTTAAAATGAATCATTTAAAGGATATTGACGACAATTTGGATGTCTCTAACAAATTAGTTCAAGACATTGTTAATTGTGATGAAAAAGTCTCTGAAATATATAAGGCTATTATCTTGCTTAATTCCATGCCTAATTCATATAGAAAGGTTAAAAATGCAATTAAGTATGGTAGGGACACTTTAATACCCGAAATTGTCATAGACTCACTTAGGAGATTAAGGTTGAAAAAAAGAATAAGAGGAGTGGTGAGTTACATATGATAAGGAATATGATGAAGTTTAAGCAAATGAATGATTCTATAGGGACTCGAGTGATGGGAATAGTAACAAAAAGGGCAAGGGACGGGACAAATCTAGTGGTAGACGGTGTTACAGATATGGTAAGTCTGAATACTTTATAGGGACTGTACTAGAAGAAGGATAAGCAGAAGGGTAAGATGAGATGTGAGACGAATTTGGTTATAAGGTCAAGTGATGACCCTAGTGAGGTTTATTGAGAATAAACCTAGTTACTGAATGTGCATCTATGTGTGATCCTTTCTGCATGTGTGTGATTGCCTAATTTGTTGTATGATGATGTGCTACATTTCAATGTGTTTGATATGTGTATTTGCATGAATTTGAGGCAATATGATTACTTGGTGTGACTGTTTGCATGCATAGTGAGTTATGATGCATTAGTAGTATGGTGTATGTCTTTTAGTGAGGTAGAGTTTAGATGTCTAGGGATACTTTGTGGTTTATATCGGGGATGTGGAGTGTGACATTTGGATCACAAGTGGAGATATGATTAAATGTCTAGAATCCTTTATCTATGAAGAGACCTTAATCAGGTAAATTGTGAGAGGGGCACTTCTATCACTTCTGTTAGGTAAAGACCCATTATCTACATAGGTTAGGAGAAGTGATGTGGTAATAAAGGATTATCCCTTAGACTTAGGATTTATTATGACTTACCAGTTAGACATGAGTTGAGTGATCAGTCTAGTGAGCATGGTGGGCGATAAGAGGAGATATGTGTTCTCGAGGTGTGAGTAACACGAAATAGGATAGGATAAGTATGGTGAGATCTTTTCGTGGGGTCATTTATGTATTTGTTGCATATGTGTTGGCCATGTATTTAATTGACTTTGTGTTAATCTGTGGTTCTATATGAACGTGTTTCTGAAAAAATTTGTGTGTATTATCCTATATTATATCGTCATCGCATGTTTATTTGCTCTTGATTGCTTACTGTGAATATCTGCTTTCATTTGGGTGTTCTTGACCATAGCCCAGGTGAGTACATGGAACAGGTATGATATGTGTTTCCGGTCGAAAACACGAGATAAGGTATGTGATCCAATTTTATTGGCTACCTTGATTATGTAAGTGCTAACTATGTGTTTTGATTGCTTGTAGATTTATTGGGCATCGATGTGGATATTAATTGGGTTTTTTGATACTCAATAAATTTCGGGCTATGATGTTAACGTGAGATAATGTATTTCATAGGTCTAGGCCGATGAATGAAATAAATCCAACAACCAAGTCCATGAGTTCCACCCGATCCAATTGTATTCCCTCTTGTATGACTTGAATTTTGACCTGTTTACTTTCTTTTTGGTCCAAGTAAAAGCTTAACCCTAGACTATTTATAAGATTACAACCCTAGCTATTTTCTTGTGTGATTTGGGTGTGAATTGAGGAGAACTCAGAACTCGGCTGCCTCCTGTGAAGTGAGAAAACGGCCCCTCTAGTGTCCAAAATCGATTGATTACCTTGTGTAATTTGTAGTTCCTTCATAGCTTACTTTTGTGGTGTTTTTTCCTTGCCTTTGTGGCTACAAATAATCACCGTTTCTTGTCCTTTGTTGGTAAGATTGAAAGCAACCGAGATGAATATATTGGTTGTGGATTGGAACTGGTTGGTTTGGTTGTTTTGTAGAGAAATGTATGTTGGACTGAGCCTGGAAAACATCGATTTGAAGATCTTTGGAGTGAGCTTCCGCAACATTCATTATACTTAAAATGTGATGCAGTTAACAAAATTGCTTAGTAAATATAATTAGCCATTCACAATTAACAAGACCAATATACATGAGGAAAAAAGGAAAAAAAAAGAATTGATGCATCTCCTAAGAAAAATGTCACTTGTAGTAAAATTTAACTGTACATATCACAACACATAATCGTTTACTGCTAAAATTTGTTTTGATGCAACAATTTCTCTCCCTCTCTTTCGAACTTTGTTACCGATTCTTTAACTTCTTTGGTTTGAAAAGATGATAAACAGCTCTTTAGCTGTCCATGTTACCTCTGCAAGATTTTCTAGAGAAGTAGCCAGTTCCTCCCTTATCTTCATCAGGAGTACTCTACACTCTACAAACCATAGAATTGAAGATAATTTAGACAAGCAACGATATGCAATACAAGTCTTGTTTAGCACTAATCAACGTGACATAACAGTGATAACTCTAATAAAATGGGTCTAAAAAAAATATTGCTATCTCATCCTTATATTGGAGCCACTTGATGCAGTTCATTCGTCCTACTTCGCCAAGTTCTTTTCTTAACCACCACCATAATATAGCAGAAACTCTTCTTATACGAACCAGTTCTTTCCGACATTTTTTATTGTTCCAATGCCGAAGGAAAATATATGATTGTTTGATACAGATTTTCAATCAATTAAAATCAATTTTTGACCGTTATTTCACTATTCCAGCTGTCATTTTTGAATTCTTCTCTCACAGGTAAGACCTACTTTATCTCAAACGGTTAAAAAATCAATTATTAAAATCTCTACCAAACACGCACTATATATCTCAGCAGGGGTTGAGCGAACAATCGCATATGGCCTATATAAAGGTGGGCATCCCTGAATCAATCCACTCTCTACTCTGTTCTTTATGGAAGAGCCAAGTCCACAGCATAAGCATGAGATTTGGGCAAGTAAAAAGACTCGAGATGAGCACACGTCTGGCATCCTTATATTTAATTGGACCCAACGCTTAAATGACAATGTAATGTCACGTAGAGTGTTGCTACACACTACTCAATGACACTATAATGATACTAAAGATTGCACATACAATATGTTAAAAATTACTGACCTGGAATTTTACTGAAATTAAGCAGACACATTGAAGCAAGAACCTTTTGCTCAACCAGCTCACCGTATTCTAGGCAAAATTTCAATGGAGTAATGAGAGTAAAAAGGGCAGAAAGCTGAAACTCTGTATCAGATAATGAAGCAAGTGAAGAGCTCAACCAGACCCCTGTTGTTAGAATTACGCGGACCAAATCCGAGTTTCCTAAAGTTAAACACTTGGAAACAGTCTCCAGAAATGACTTAGTCCCATCCCCAAGAAGCGAAGCCGACACACTCACCAGCCACTTCTCTCTCGTCTTTACTTCTTCTTCATCTTCAATCTGAGAATTGAACTTGAAAAATTTTCTTGCAATCAGTACTTGATGGTAAAAAGACTCGAGAAAAAAAAATCAACTAGTCTGTTCGTTGAGATCAAGACTTAGTTTGTATACATACCATCATCACAGTCTCATCAGTTGCTATATTGTTGTCTTCATTGTCAGCAAAATTCCAGTCTGGACCGTTGAGAAACCCGGCTAGTTTCAGAGACCAATCCTCAGTCATAAGTTTTCCAGACAAAGAGAAGCGACCTCCAAGTATTAGGAGAGCTCTGCAACACTTCTTCTGAACCTTCGGATCTGATAAGCCACTCTCCAGAGCTGTTGTAAGGGCATCTACAGCCTCCTGTCTATATAGGCTACTCTCGTGTGGTATTTTCTGCAAGTTTCAATTACATGATTATCTCAACATAGATGTCTTTGAGTCATAACAAGACCAATTTTGTGATTAAAAATTATTTAACAACATTTGTATTTATTAAACATTGGATCAAAACTTCGTTTAAGAGCTTAAGTTGTTAAAAAAGTGTACGATTGATATTGTAGTAAGTATACACAAGGAAAGCGTTTCATAACAACGGCATTGGAATTTCTGTCTTCATCTAGATTTGGTCGATCCAAGCAAAAAAGAAATAAGAAATGCTCACGCAAATAAAAGAAGTCCAATAAAATGGGAAAAGGGAAAACAAACTTAGACGTGCATACACACACATCGACTGAGAGAGATCCATGTCCACAGTAAAATAAGAGCTAATCCAACATGAAGGAAAATGCAAGACCTAATTACTTTGTTTCTTCGAGATTTTTTTTTTTTTATTTTTAAAATGTACTTACCAGAAGATCAAAATGTAGGATCAAAACGGCTACTTCAGGTCTCTCTTCCAGTACACAAGTCTGCATATAGATGAGCAAATTATCCATTGCATTTATTATTTCTGCATCCTGTAGGCCTTTTAAAATTCCTTCTGCGTTTTTCCTCCTGATATTTCATAAGCAGTGTCAAAATATTACTTTATAACACGTCAAATCTAATTGCCAAAGAAACCATAAAAACAGATTATAAATAAGTTAAAGCAATTTATTCTGCCACTTTTGTTCATGAAGAGTTATTTTTAGAGAAGACAGTGGATGAAGTTCAACTTCCTTTTACTTGTACATGTTATACATCTCGTATGGATGGTTGAGACCCAGAACATCTTTTTACTTGCACTAGTTGGATATCTTGTAATTTTAGTTCAAAAGTAGGATCAATGTTAAAACGACTCGAAAAATTACTAAGCCCCAAGTACCTGTTCAAGCAAATTAGTTCAGCCAGCATTAACACTGCATTGGTTCTCAACTTTAACTGCTCGCTTCGAATTAGTTCTAGAAGACACGGCATATTTATGCTTCTAGCAACATCATCTCTGCAACTAGCGTCAGATTCAATACAACAAGATAGTAATTCTAAAATAGATGTCTTCTCATTAACGTCTCCATACTCAAATCTCCTCAGCAGAAACTGTAAGCCTCCAAAAGAGATAAGCTGTTTTGCATTTGCTATTCTCTCATCTTTAGTGAAAACAATGAGAAACTGCTCCAATAGGGACATAGTTACATCATCTTTCGATTTTACATGTTCCGATGAATCTGCTGTTAGTTGAGAGACAGTAGCCAAGAGATTCCTGCAATGCTCTACCTTCCAATTGTCAATAACACGCTTCAGAATGAAATTTGTAGGTGGGACAGCTTGAAATGCTAATGTTTTTCCTGTGACAGGGCAGGTTTTAGATTCTCGACCAAACCAATCCGTGATTGCTCCACGTTCAAAGGTGTGTCCTGTCTCAAGAGTCACTGGATCTTCAAAAAGAAGTCCATTCAAAGGGCATATGAAATCTTTTGGGATGCTCAACAGAGAAGTTGTTTCGCTGAAGTCTTCATAACTCTTTTGCAGTTCTGCATATACAAGTAATGAGTTGAGGTGATCAAGAAAAAGAGAAACCTTCTCAGATTAATATTTTTTACCATGGACAGGAGACTTCAATTTAGTTTCCTGCAACCAAAATTAAGATATGAGACTTCTGGAAAGAATTGAAATGCACTCGTGTGTGTGTTTACAATGCAATGACAGTATAGAAACACATGGAGAATTATACCAAAGAAATTGATACAGCATGGTCAAGCAATGATTTTGCTGGCCTCTTAGTTAAAAGCTCATTTTCTTTTGCGGGTGGTAATTCTTGCAACGTGTGTACATCTGAATTTTCTTGCAGCCACTGACTGTTGTGGAAGTTTTCGTTGAAATTTAACTCTCCTGAAGAACTTGCTTGTTCTAATCTCTGCGTTTCATCAGCCGCATGTGAATCATCCTACAATTGTTTTAGAAATCCTTGATTTTTACTGATAAAAATAGATCAGATATCCGAGTAAAGTTTACTTTGTTAATCTATTCCCATCTTCATAAGCAAGATTGAGAAAAAGATATGAAACAATAATATAAGAAAATTTATTCCATAAACATGCCTTCAAAATAGGAAGGAAGGCCCTTGGAAAAATTCTGTTAATTCGTTACTAAGAGACTGACTCTACATTTGATGTGCAAAATTGGTAACTTACAATACCATTTGCTTCATGAACATTGAAATTATGACAAAGATGCTGAACTTCGAATTTACACAAACTTCATGTTATGGAATAAAATCGTCACTTACTGGGTGAGATTTGCCGCCGGGTGAGATATTTTGATTTTTGTGTTTAACAGAGTCATCAGAATATAATATCAATTGTTTGTCTTCTGGAGCAGTACCATTTGAGCTTATTGCATTTATCTCAAAATCCTCTTCCTCGTAGACTTCGATTTCAATCCCGGATTTATGTGAATGCTTAAATACTTCATCGTACAATTTTTTACTGACCATTGGATGTGGTGAGAAATGACATGTAGGACTACATGTGTGACCCTTTTGCATTGGATGAACAGAGAAAGAAGGAATTGCAATTGAAGGAAGCGAAGGCGCATCAACCCCCTCGGTTAGCCAATCCTTGTAGTACAAGGCAAATTGATAAGTTGCTGAATCCAGAGTTTCATTATACACTTTATCAAGAAGCTTTAGATTTGTTGGAATTGGTGAATCAGCCAAGGAATCAGCTTCTTTGTCATACCAGAGCTTCAAATCCGAAAGATGAGGAAACAATATTTGATCCCACAAATCAGGCAGTAATGTCGTCCGTGCCTGGAATGGTGAATCACAGAAAACTTGAAGAAGATGTTTTGCTGCAATTCTATCTTTTCTCTGTAGCATATAAATCATGCTGAGGTACAAGTGAGCACAAGCTGACAGCTTGAAGTTTGGGATTCCAGATGTAAGTCCATCTTTTAAATCATTGGAATTTAATCCCGTAATAACACTAAGTTGCAAAGAAGCTTTTTTTAATTCTTTGGCCGTTGCATTTTCCTCAGCAGCTCTTTCAACCATTTCTATAGCTTGTTCAAGATTTTCTATGATTTTGCATTCAGTGTCAAGGCCTTCTTCCAATCCAATAAAATTCAGGGAAGCGAAACTATTGTGACGCAGTGATGTCCTGAAGTCCCCATCTGTTAGAAAACGTTTGACATAACCACTCAAAATAGAAATCATGGCTTTAACAGCAGCTTCATCGAGAGCAGGAGTATCAAGAATCTGTTCGGACCGGCCTTGCCTTAGGCTCCGACTTTCATCAAAAGTTTTACCTTTTTCAGAAATCATGTTTATCTCAGGCTGGTTCACTCTTTTCCACGAATTGACACTTAAAATTCTTTGTCGAGGGACACGTTTGAAGGAGTCTTTTGTAGTTCTCTTATCTTCCATTGCATCCTCCCCGGAATGCTGCCTGTGTCGCTCTCTTTCCTCATTTTTGTGAACATCATATGAATATATATCTGTATATGGCTTGTTATTTTCCACCTCTACTATCTCGTTACTCTCTACGGTCTCCTTTCTCCCAAAACCTCGAGAATCTTCACTTGAACTAAGGCTAAACTTCTTGGCATCCCACGAATCTTTATAACCTCTTCTTTCAAGTTCCACCCGAGTTTCTGTCTTTGATTCCCAGTCTATTTTCTCCCTTCTATTAGGATCATCCCTTGGATTTCTACCTTTAAGACTATAACTTGTTGAAAAATCACCTCTAGAGTCTTTTCGAGGTATCTCAGATCTTGTCCTCGCTGTCCGTTTAACAGATGATGAAGAACTGGGTTCATGTTTACCTCGCGTTGGATAAAGAGGTATACTTCTTCCATCTGAGCCGAAGGAATGTCTGGGTATCATCTTTGCTTTTCTCTTAAACCCTTCAGCAGCAAGAAGATCCTCCAAAGACATTGCCACTTTTATTCAATTTAAAACCTTTCTGGAGCCTATTTCCATGAAAGGGATCAAAGGTTAATGCTTCAAGAAATACTATAAATGCAATTACTTTTTCAGATCTTTAGGAAGTAGTTTGAGCATGTTCGGCCAAGCTTAAAAGTAACTTCAAAGCCAAATATAAAAGGTTGAACCTCAACTTTGAGGGTCCCACGGCTCCACCCCGATAGAGCTTTGTGAGGGAGGTAAATCGCGGGATGTGCCTCAGCAGGTCAGAGAATAAAAGTTGCCTACTTGGAGCCCATTTTTACCAAATATGTTTCTACCATTCTAAGCGCCTGCTTGGAGCCCATTTTTACCTCATTTTTAGAGGTTTTTGGACCGTTAATTCTCATCAACAGTAGGATCCTTTGTCAATCAATGCCTGATTGTGTAAATTTTTGGAAGAAAAAAAAGAACTTTGACTTGTGAAGATGCGATGGTAGAAGAATTTTCAATCTTCCCAAGCTACCCTCCAAATGGTAAAGAAAATGGGGAGGCGTAGGGTTAATAATAAAGAGGGTATTTTGGTAAATAGTGGATGACAAATTGGGGTATTAAAGTTCACCTCATTTTCAACAACTTGTATACCCATAGTAAACAATCATGCTACTTGTACAATGTACTTTACAACTTGGTTTATAATGTATGACTTGACAAACATCATATCCATCTATTTGAAAATTTGTTTTTAAAATCAATGGCCAAAATTTCTCCAACAGACTTATTGTCAATAAAGTTGTGTAAATACATTGTAGAAGTGACTTTACTCCATAGTAAATGCTCCATTTGAATAAATAATAGTGACTTTAAATTACAGGTCTACTGTTGTAAACTGCAAATTCTCATTTTAATGGCCAACAAATAAGTGCTAAATGTTTGCCATTTTTTTGTTAAAAACATATTTTTTGTAATTATAAGTCTTCATTTCCGAAATAAATAATTTCGACACTCAACTAAGAGCATGTTTGGTACAGGTTAAAATATAATTAAAATTAATTTTTTGACCGTTATTTCACTATTCCTACTTAATAGTCAAAAAATCAATTAACAAAATCCTCACCAAACAAACACTAACTCACATATAGCATTAAATTCTGTCATTTCTAAGGTTCAAAATCTTTATATTATCCTTAAACTCTCCTCAGTCTCTAATTTTCCATCTGCTGATCAACCGAATTCGACCTTGTCCTGTTTTATTAAATGTTAACACATATGCCTAAACTTTTCCAGGAAAATCCTAATTTATGCAACATCCATCTTCAACAATTAAAACATTCTGCAATCTTCGGAGATGACAAAATTTAACCTGACAAATTATGCAACCAAGAACAATTACAGAACAGAGGGCAAAAGATTTTTACCTGTAAGCTACTTTTTGGTGATAAAAATTCCTTCAACTGAACCCACAAACTGAAAACAGCCTTTTGTTCTCCAAAAACACTCCACCATAAAGGCCGTGGATTGACTCGGTTAAGATCTTTAAACATCAGTATTGAAACCAGATGAACAGAAGAAAGAAATGAATTATTGAAATGCTGATGCAACAAATACGATTCATTGGTTGATACTAAGGAATTGGACAAAGGAAAAAACAAATGAAGAAACAGATTATAGAATTGAGGATTATCGTGATGTTACAATAGGCAACAAAGACGAGGATTAAGTCAAAAAAAAAGACAAATGCAAAATGACAAACCAGAAAATGCAACAATTATGTAAATTTCAAGGCTGAACTGTGCTGATTATTACGTGTAAAAATTTGTTTGCAGGCCATAGGTTTAAATTATATTATTTTAAGTTCCAATTGCCGCCCCAATCCTAAATCTACCCTTCTCTCTATCTCTCCTTGTCCTTTTCGTCGAAATGATAGGTGGAACCAAATTGAATCCTTCAAACTGGGAATGGAATTAATAAATTCTTTATACAGTAACACTGGTGAACTTGGAAATCAGAATACTATTTGAAAACAATAGAAACTCTGTATGTTCATGCAGGCCGTGCATAAGGCATAAATTAAGCGGTGCATAAGGCATAAAAATGGGATAAAAACTTCGAAATAATGTTTAATGAGCTAATCTAGGTAGCATAAGGAACCATATGTCAGTTTCATTCTTGCTCAGTTAATCAGAGTACAACTTTGGATGGCTTGGTACATAAGGCATAAATTAATGCAGGTTTTATTCTTGATACTGCGTCAATAATTGCTCTTAATCTAATCACCAAAAACATTTGGAAACTCAATCTTGACTAAGGGATTCGTACTTGATGCAGTCCATCCATTCAAGTCAAGCTTCTGTAATAACTTGAACCCAAAATTACCAGAACACAAAGGAATTAAAAATGAATCATCAACATCAACAATCAATTATTTAGGGCTCAGAATACATTGTACTCGTCTGTACAACCTGAAAACTCCACAAACCCTAGCCACATGGGATCGAATGGAGGCAACCCAAAGACTACCCAGACAACAAAGATACACCCTCTCGACTACAAATAGAAGAATCATCAAGACTCAATTCATAGAGATCACCCAAAAAACCAAAAGTTTTAAGGGTTAGAGACGTATCACAAAGACAAAAATGAGAGAAGACACGGTCGAGAGAGGGAGAGAGCCCGGAAGCTTCTCAAAACAAGAAAAATTAAGTCAATCATCATTAGGGACTACTCAGGCCATTTATATATATCACATTAATTATCGCCGTAGTTTTATAACCGGGGCAATCCAAAGGTCCAGAGCAACACACATGTTCATCACATTTGGGTTGGGTTTAGGTCCATTTTAGTGTTGCGTTATTGAGCAATGGCTTGTAGTATTTGAGAAAGGGGCTAGCACTTTTGTTTCATCATCGCCCATTTTTAAGCTGGGCCAATTAAATTGGCATCACAGCCTAATAGCTCCAAGGTAAATATTCAATGTTAATCTTATCTGAGATGTAGAAAAATCAACATTGTGTTATATGATTACTCTAAATGATGGTGTAGTCAATTGGAAGATGTTCCAACGAAGAATGACAGTTAACTCTACAATAAATACTTTGGAAAGTAATCTCAATCGAGGAACGCATTAGTGAATTATAAATGATTCCCATTATTGTGGATCCAATAATAGTGTAATGTGATAACAATGGAGTCATCATACAAGTGAAGGAACCTAAGTCTCATCGAAGACCAGAGTATGTATTGGGGCACTACAGTCTCACTAGGAGATTGTAGAAAAGATAGAATGTGTGTCTGCTCACCTTGAGAAGGTTGAACATGTGAAAAGCAACACTTATTCTGAAAATTCAGATCTATTGAGATAGATCACGAAAATGAATTTGAGATTTAGGAATAGATCCATTTATTGATTGTCAAAATTATCATAGATTCATTTGTAATGTCACCATCCCAATAGAAACATGTAGTGGCATATTTAGGGTAAAAAAAAATTGTGGAATTTTTATTAAATATTAGCCTAGTTTTTTATTTTTATTTTTGGTAGTTCATATATGAATCTGTCCCCAGAAACATAATTTTCATGAAAATTCATAACACATTGGATACATGAGTCATTGAATCTCGTTCAAGTGGGAGAATGTTATTTGATATGCCCTAAGTCCAATTGTTGAGATGGTATAGCAAATCTATTATCAATGCAGTTGTACTATTGACAGATCTATTATTTTAATTATATTAAAGGAGTCTGATAATTAGTTATGATAATTTGCTATTTACAACTTACAAGGTGTTGTAATTGTGAAATACAATTTTTTTATAACTTAATCTTAAATTGTTACAGGTTGTTAGTAATTATGAGATACGAATATCATAATTATAGATAGGCCAACATATATCTTATGAGACACATAAAGAAAAATGTGTGTTTCAAAATTTATATTTTTGCTTCACTCATAGGGTTTCCTTGATCAATGATCTCTTGAATCCAAGCCACCTGAGAGAAACTCTATAGCTTTGTGAGACAATAGGTTCAAGATCCTTAGCAAATTCCTTAAGTAGCACGATAAAATATTCATCTACAATTTCATAAGATGTAGATGAAAGAAAGAATCTTTGCCAAATAGAAAGAAAAATATTTATTAAGGATCAAGTAAATACATGCATATGAAAATAGTCTGTGATTTATGTCTAATTTTTACATCCATAAAAAGTTTTGACAGCATTCATAAAATGGGTACAAAGTATATACTAGGCATAATTGGAAATATATACTCTTTCCATCTCATTGAAAAAGGAAATGTAGAATACAAAACATCATTTTTGTCAACAGATTGTTCATCAAGTACAAGTTCCTTTCAAGTAGAAGAAGTTCTATTCAATTTTATATGCTGTGTTGGGTTTTTGATACCCAATAATCTCCGGCGATGATGTTAAACAGTGTCAGATAGTCGGATTAGATTTCATAGGTTTCGACCGATGATTGAAATATTTATTAACACACTCTATTAAGTGGCTCAACTCGAAAAACAACTTGAAGGTCGTTTGAAGCAACTTAATATAGTTAATGTTGCTCACTACCCATTTACTTCTTGGATGGCTCAATTAGTGTTTCGCCCCCTTTAATCATTAGTTGGTCCATGAACCCACTATGTTATTACACCCTAAAACTATATATTGCTCTCATTTGTGAATGAGCCGTGTGTGTTTTGCAATTGAAAAGAGGAGCCGACATTTTTCTCTAGTTTTCTCTCTTGAGCCTTAAACTGAATCTGTCTTCCTCTATTCTTTGTGATTCATTGCAGCCGCCATATTGTGCTCTTTGTGAACCCATTGACTTGAGCAACCGAAATAAGAATCGTGATTGTTTGGGTTGGAGCCATTGTTGGGTGTGTTTAATAAAATAGAGATTGGTGAAACTGAGCCCGAAAAATCCATCATCGGAGGTCGATTATTCAACATTTGGTATCAGAGCGAGGTTGGGGTGGAATTTTCGGCCAAAATCTGACTAGAAAACCAGCAGAAATCAGAAAATAAAACTGTCCAGAAAATTTTCAAAAAAAAAAACCGGATCTGCAACGTCGATTTTCGGCAAATCCAGACGTCTTTTGGTGAAACGGAGGCCGGATTCGTGATCTGTAGGTGGAGGCGGTGCTGGGTGGCCGAGGCGTCTGGGCGACAGCAGCCGGCGACGGCGGCGCGTGGCTTCTCCGGCGGTGGCGTGTGTGGGCGCGTGGGAAAGCTTTCTTCAAACAGTTTGTTCCTCACATTATTTCTAACATTTTTCGTGTTGAAAATTTTCTGTTTCAGGTTACACAGAAAAAGTTGGACGATTTTGTCCCTAGAAATCGAACTGCATTTCTTGGCGGGCTGCACAGTTATATTTGTGAATCTCTAGGATGAATCATGGTGGTCCTAAAGCAGCAGATTTGCATCTCTCTCGGTTATACGGACTCAGACACGTTCGCTTTGGTAAATTGGCTTAACTCGTTAGTTTCGATATTAGCGCGTCACCGTGTGGGGTGACAATATGTTGGGGGTAGTCATTGCTTTGCAGCCATTGCTTGTGCTAGAAATTAGGATTACTTGCTCTTAATTTTTGCGATTGAGTACTTATTTTTGGATAAATTAGCGTATTGTGTTTTGTGCTAAAATTGTTGTGAAATTTCGTTTGATTGGATATACCTATTTTGTTGCATCGTAAATTTCGCTGTGTTGTTATCTTTGTTAGAATACCTAGACCTTACCCGTTCGCACGTTCCCTTGATCTAAGACCACGAGTCTTACGAAATCCTGGGAATCTAGAACGGTGTATATTGCGGCCATAGGATTCTTTGTGTGATCTATTTGCCTAATTGATTGCTTCGTTTTTCAAAAATGTCTTCACATTTTGAAGTTGGTATTTTTAATGGAAAATGTGATTTTTCAATCTGACAACAAAAAATAAATGGTATTTTAGTCCAACAAAAGGTTTCAAAAGCCATTGAAGGCAATTTTTCAGCTAATTTTTCAAAAGAACAAAAAGAAGAAGGCGATGAGCTTGTTTATACCTCAATCATTTTACATTTGTCTGAGGCTGGAGAAAAGTAGGAAAACTGAAAACCACAAAAGATCTTTGGAAAAAGTTGGAGGATCTATATTTGCTTAAATCCACTCCCAATAAACTTTATCTTCTTGAGCGTTTCTTCAGTTTTAAAATGGATCCTTCAAAGGATCTTGATGACAATTTAGATGTTTTCAATAAACTTGTCCAAGATATTGTTAACTGTGAAGAAATCGTATCTGAAACCTACAAGGCTATAATCTTGCTTAATTCTATGCCTGAGTCATATAAGGAAGTTAAAAATGCCATTAAGTATGGTAGGGATACATTGACTCCCGAGATTGTCGTAGACTCGCTTAGGAGTAAGAAGATGGAAATGAAGGTTGAAAATGAAGATAAGAAGAGTGGTGAGTTACACATGAGAAGGAGTGGGATGAAGTTTAAGAAAATGAATTTGGGTAGAGTTCAAAATAGTGGTGATTTGAGTAGTGACTCGAGTGATGAAGGTGGTAAGATGAAGGGTAAAGGATGGGACAAGTCTAGTGGTAGACGATATTATAGTTGTGATAAGTCTGGACACTTTATTAGGGATTGTCCTAAGAAGAAGGATAAGCAGAAATGTTATGTGAGAGGTGAGACGAATGTGGTTGAGGGGTTGAGTCATGACCCCAGTGAGGTTTATTGAGAGAGTAAACCTAGTCACTACATATGCATCTGTGTGTGATCCTTTCAGCATGTGTGTGATTGCCTAATTTGTTGCATGACTATATGTTGCATTTCAATTTGTTTGATATGTGTGTTTGCATGAATTTGAGGTAATGCGATTACTTGGTGTGATCATTTACATGCATAGTGGGTTAGGATGCATTAGTACTGTGTTAGATGTCTTTTGGTAAGGTGGAGTATAGATGCCTAGGGTACATGGTGATTTGTATCGGGGGATGTGGAGTGTGACATTTGGATCATGAGTGGAGATGTGATCAAATGTGTAGAATCCTTTATCTGTGAAAGAGACCCTGTACAGGTGGAGTGCGAGAGAGGCCCTTCTATTACTTCTGTAAGGTGGAGTCTCATTATCCACGTAGGTTAGGAGAAGTGATGTGGTGATAGAGGATTATTCCTGAACTTAGGATCTATTGTGACTTGCCATTTTGACACGAGTGGAGATGTGATCAAATGTATAGAATCCTTTATCTGTGAAAGAGACCCTGTACAGGTGGAGTGCGAGAGAGGCACTTTTATCACTTCTGTAAGGTGGAGTCCCATTATCCACGTAGGTTAGGAGAAGCAATGTGGTGATAGAGGATTATTCCTGAACTTAGGATCTGTTGTTACTTGCCATTTTGACATAAGTTGTGTGATCTATTTAGAGAGCATGGTGGGCGATGAGAGGAGATATGTGTTCTCGATGTGGGAGTAACACGAAATGGGATAGGATAAGTGTGGCGAGATCTTTCGTGAGGTCATTTATGCATGTTTTGCATATGTGTTTGATCGTGTGCTGATTAACTTGGTGTTAATCGGTGGTTCTATGTGAACGTGAATTTGAAAAGATCTGTGTGAGGTATTCTATATAATATCTTTATCGCATGATTAGTTGTTCACTGTAAGTACTTGTTTCTACCTGGGTGTTTTTTGGACCTTAGCCCCGGTGAGT